TAATTGTCGAGGGTTAAGTCCGTCGTCAATGTCGATCACATGCAATGCCTTGATGTCCAACACAAAAATCGATCTGTACGACATCGCCACGAGGCCATACATGAACGTCGACACATTGTCCAAGTACACAGTGCCGTTGAAAATCCATGGTTCTTTGTAGTACACTGTAACGACGTCACTCCAGTGGCGTCATAGGGTTATCGACCAATCAGAACAGACGTCACAGTTGACGTCAGTTTACGACCAAGCTCGATTGGCGTGCGGCGTGCTCGGCCATGGACACCAGAAGTTCCTTCTGCAGAGCGCACGTATATATAGCATTAGATATAGTATATATATATAGTCACAGTAGTCATGCATGTAGATGTAGATAACGCCAATCAATCAGTTTACAATTTCCTCTGTGTTATCAACTCCCTACATACACGCACAACGCCCCTGCTGGCAACAGCGTTGACGTGGTGCGCTGAGGCAGCTTGAAATAGGGATGCGCCAACTTTGCCACAGGTAGCACAGCACCACCACCACCGACGCGAGGACGGCCAACTGGATCACGCGGTTTAGGCTACCAATTTGAACTGTTCCAGCCATGCAGTCGACCTGGAAGTTGACTTGGGGGGACTTACAATAAAGAAAAGCGAACTTCACGAAAGACACCACACTGAGCAACGTGGGAAACAGGGTAACAATGACGCTGCTGTAGAACGAGTACTTGTTCGTGAAGCCCTTCGTCACGGTCTTCCCAACATATGTGGGACAATCACCACGCAGCACATTTCAGACCCTACTAGCGTCTCCACCCATCTGTTGTCGGTGCGCTTCCAAAATGCGTAAATGTGCCAGGCAAAGTCAGCTTTGGCGATGACGTGGCCAATAGACAGATGGCTACAAGACTGCAAAGACACAAGAGAGGTCGCCCGACCCACACGATTCCGACCACCCGATTCACTTCGAGCATGTTGAGCCCTTCAATGTGCACTTTGGACACCACTGTGCATCCGATTGTGACGAAAGTACCGGAAAAGACCGCGGCAGTGGTGTACTGGAGGCACAACATGCAGTAAAACGCGACGTCGGTCTGATTTACAGCGGATTCGGCTGGGTGGTTGTATAGACCACATAACTCGTCATGACATGCATCACGCCGCCGTGAAACGACACTACTTCGCGATACTGTACCCCAACGCCCATTCAAATACTATTTTCCACGCGGTGGCGAGTTCAAAGTGGGGGTCGGCTGGGTCCAAGAGAGGGGCCTGCAGCAGCTCCAAGGCGACGACGCTGTTTTCTGCGCGTATTGTACGAGCTCAATGCGCAGCACGACGAGCTGTGATTGATTGTCTGCGACAACTGGAGCACTTCTGTCCGTGACACATTTGACATGTACGCCGTGGTCCACTGCATGGCCGCCATGAAGTCCAAATTACCTGCAGTGTATGGCGTCGACGTGGTGTTATAACAAGCATCGCCTAACGACACACACGTACCACAGGTGCATGTCGATAATTGTCCTCCCCACGCAAAGGATGCAAACACAAGGAGGCGTCTGTACGTTAGAAACACCACCGATATGTAATTCCCACATGGAAGTGATATGCTGAGGAGTGTGAACATGCCAGACTTCATGGGTAAAGTCCCCAGGTTGGCAGGGCATAGCAAATTACCACCCTTGGCTTGCGCATAAAATTGTTGCCACGCTGTAGGCGTTGGATAGAACACATCCCCCGTCCTTCGAACCACAAGCTGGGCGTCATTGTGGTTGAACAGAGTGAATTCATCCAGATCGATTTAACGTCGAGCAAGCTGCAGCAGTGTATCAGGACACGGCATGTGATACATGTCGGTGCTGCCAAATGGCCCCAACGCGGCTCGAACCAGCGACAGCCCGGCATCCAGGGGTTGGGGAAGCGAGTTGTTTTGAGACAAGCCGGATTTCCGACTGGTTGTGAAAGCAAAAATGGCTGCTGCTGCGAATCAAACTGGAGCCACCCATCGTCGTAGCGTTGTGAGTCAATGTCCACAGGTCGCTGCCCCATCCCCAATACATCTTGCGCGACGTCTCCAAGTCAAAGCGGTAGCTTCCGTTGGATGTTTTCATCGTCAGTGGATACGAGATGCCAAGGGTATTCTGCACCAGGACCGTTTCGACCAACCCAATGGCTTTGTACCTTTTCCACTGCATTGTAAATTGCGTCAGGTTGTTCGCTGTTCCAAATTGCCAATTCATTCGTCAGGACCAGAGGGGGGGATTCCATGGTTTGTTTCCACTGTTGTCCGTCTGACGATTCTCTCAATTCCTCAAACAGTCAAATCTCTATGGCCTCCCCCCAACACCCCTTCAACTTGGCCATGTCTGTGTTTGGAATACTGATTGCATGTATAGTAAGTTACACAGCCCCGTTCGACTGCATGTCGCGGTCACATCGCCGTTGGCGGAATGTCCAAGTTGGCGACGTACCACCGTCGATTGAAATCCGTACTGCGTGGCTAGACAAGGCAAGTCACGCACACTTGTCGACTGGAATCCCGCAGTCATGGCGAGCACGGAAAGGGCTTCGAATTGCGCCACGTGCGACGAATATTGACTATTAATTGATAACGTGGAAACACTGCCGTTGTAAAATTCTTGGAACTTGACGTTGACCATATTCAAACCGGTCGCACTTTGGGGCCGAAACAGCACTTCCACGTTATACGAGTTGACCAGAAATGCCTCCATGACAATGCTGTTGAAGCGTTCCCGTAGAAAATTGTTGCCAATCTTGGACTTGGTGACAGCGAAGAAGGACGCCGACGACGTGGCCGACACGACCAGGAAAAGAAATCCCACGCGAGCTCGAACACTTTGGCGAGCTTGAAATGCGAGCGCATTGGGTTTTCTGCATAACAAAGGACTGGCCGGACCGAGTGTCATTTTCGATGACCCGGATTGCCATAAACGAAGGGCTGAGGTTCGAAAGACAAATAGACCGAGATCGATCAATCAGGGGCCAGTACACCCAAAGCAACACGCTAAACACATGCGTATGATGGAAGGGTAGAATACCACTTACGATGCTGCTGGCCAAGATCAAAAGGATTAGCCTCGGTTCCCTTTGTGGTTTCAAAGTGAGCGCACACTACTGCCGGAAGAATCACTGACATATTGTCGTGTGTCCATGGAGTAGGTACAAGCAACGCGAATACGCCCCACGACACGGCTACAGCGACGACCTGCACGACACACTGCCACGAAAACCGACCAAAACTGCCGATTGCAACCACACCAGATACGCACGTGAATTGGATTTCCATGTTGGAGCTGACACAGGTCCGACTCATGGAATCAGACGGCGTCACTGGAGTCAGAACTGAAGCTCCACCGTATGACCCACACCATAGCACAACTCAGCCAACCACAGCGCGTGGTATGTCGTCCTGTCACCAGCGACACATGTCGTTGATTGCATGGGTCAGCCATAGCGACTCGCCAGACACAACCAACGCTTCCCAAATCGTTCGCCGTGTGTGGGGGCTCGTCTCCCGTCGCCATCCCTCGTCGTGGCGCAACGTTCTGTCGGTGAATCGGGTGGTGGGGTTGTTTGAATTGGCTGTCCGATGTTGTTTTCTTCGCGAATTCACTGCCATGACCGTCTTGAGCAACGCCCACATTGAGCTGCAAACCACTGCCACTGGCATCCTGACACGATTCGACATCATTCCGCGATCGGTGTGGGAGTCGTTTGTGGTGGCCCGAAACGGGTTTGTTCCAGACCTCCGGCAGCCGGAGGAAGGAAAAGCATGGATTCTGTCGATCATGGCGCCATCGCTGGGGCCCGTAGCCGAAGTGAACGTCTGGACGACTCAACATCACGTGGCTATGTTCACGATGCAATGGTAAAACTACAAGACGATTGGTCTGGTTGAGACGTTGACGGTGCAAAATGCACTGGTTATATATATGGTGCACTTCATCTAAAAACTTCCAACTGGCCAAATTGAAGAGTGGAGGTTTTATTATTTAACGTGCAATTAATGTAGTTAAACCCAAAATCCAAATACGTTAAATACCGATTTCATGCGTTTTATCACTGGAGTGGGAGGTTAAAGGTCCCAACTGCCTCCGGATATTAAATACGGATAAGAGTCACATACAAAAATCAAGATATATTTGAGCGGCCACCCCTATGGCCAAATATCCAAGCGCCCATGTAAAATACCGCT